AACGGTTCGTCATAGTGATGATACTAATAAACACGCGTTTTCGTGATTATATTTTGGTGCTTGTTTTCTTATTGCTGGTTATGTATCCTGCCTCGTTTCAAGGTCCCGTTACATTAGCTCAGCAGGGAGAGGGAAACACAGATACTGGGCCTTTAATCCCAGAATTCCAGGCGTGCTCCGAGCGCCACCAAAGAGGAAAGTTGGGGACGAGGTAGTAACTGATCTACTACACTTAATGGAATTTGTAACGCGAGCTCTGATTGGTGAACTCGAGATATCGACAATCCTTACCTTAATTGATTAGAAAACAGTTGATTTAACTAAATGTGGGGTGGGTGGACGAGAGTCGTAAACGTCCCTGTTTACCCCTTGCCTTGACGAAAACTTCATTGTTTTGCGTAAGTAGGCTATGAGACGCATGCGCTACCGTGCTACGAACCTGTAGTAACACCACACTCAAAGAATCTTTAACTTTTTAATTACATACTTCAATCAACAGGAAACTCTTAAATCCGCTTTCCATAAGCCATCGAGCAAAGTAGATATATTTCAAACAATTTAAATACACTTCTCATTAACAAAAAGAAAAGAAAATGCGAAAAGTTTTACAGGAGGGTTTAGCACAAAATATAGTGTCAGTCACAAAGTTCCCATTTTCTACATCTGGCTTTGCGCTTGAAATCATTTTCCAGTCAGCCAAAAGCGATTAATTAGTGTCCTTGAAAGCCAACAGTTATTACTAAGCTGTGCACTTCAGACCTCAATATCTTGGTTTTGCGAAGACTGATTCCCTTCACTTCTCTGTAACCCATGCGCGGTCTTGCCTACGTACAGCTTTACTTTACTTTGCTGTGAAGTACGAAGATGTTGATGCTTTTCCGTGCGGGAAAATGTCGATACAACGTTTAGTCTGCCAGACCTCCAAAGTCTTCCCAACCGAAGAACGCACATAACGAAGTAAACATAAAACATATCCATGTCCAAAATAACCAGGAAATGGTACGGAACAAACGTTAAAAACGTGAGCGTAGTCGCGAACAGTTCAATGATGGAGGGGGCTGATTCATGATCATAAAGCAACTCTAAATCCATAGTTATTACCGAGTGGAACACTCGCTTGGTTGATCTGGCGAAAGCGTCCGTGATATAAATCAAATCGCATAGGCAGACCATCCAGGAGAAAAGCAAACTTGAGTTGTCTGTGTTCATTCTGGAAATCCACAGTCCGGACAAGACAGCATTGGTGACGTAAACATCCCACACCTTGCAAACGATCAAGCAAAGCGAAGACATGGTGAATAGCTGAAGACACAGCGCTTATTGCTTGGATGTGTCGTGTTTTAAGGCAGTGTCCATGCAAAAGCAGCGCGCGCACCTTTTCCCATTGATGACGTATAGTTTCTTTCAAGTTGCTGCGTTCGCATGCACGTGCACTCGTGCATGTATGTACTGTTTTCAAAAGAAAGTAAGCGCCCCTGACTCTTTGCATAAATGGCGCCAATATTTGAATAGCAATAGTTATACATCCTAGGCCTCGCATTCATGTGAAAAATCCATTGTCTGAAAACTTGAGTACGAGGCTAAGATGGATAAAGTATTGTCAATGAAATTTAGGCGCTATTTATGCAAAGGGTTATTATGTGCGGTCAGGAGCCATAATCGGGGACGGACACCGTAAGTCTCNAAGCAAACTTGAGTTGTCTGCGTTCATTCTGGAAATCCACAGTCCGGACAAGACAGCATTGGTGACGTAAACATCCCACACCTTGCAAACGATCAAGCAAAACGAAGACATGGTGAATAGCTGTAGACACAGCGCTTATTGCTTGGATGTGTCGTGTTTTAAGGCAGTGTCCATGTAAAAGCAGCGCGCGCACCTTTCCCATTGATGACGTATAGCTTGTTTCAAGTGGCTGCGTTCGCATGCACGTGCACTCGTGCATGCATGTACCGTTTTCAAAAGAAAGTAAGCGCCCCTGACTCTTAGCATAAATGGCGCCGATATTTGAATAACAGTAGTTATACATCCTAAGCCTCGCATTCATGTAAAAAATCCATTGTCTGAAAACTTGAGTACGAGGTTAAGGAGGTATAAAGCATTGTTAATCAAATTTAGGCGCTATTTATGCAAAGGATTATTATGTGCGGTATCTTGTTTTTTTTTTGTTTTTTTTTCACAGGATGTAAGTACGGTATTTCAAAATTCACATTTTTGGAGACAATTATTTGTGATCGGCTTCTGTAGCAAAACTTGTATTTCCAATCAGGTTTAATTTCCTTCACAAATGGTTTAACTGGAAAATAGTTCACTTGTACATTAAATACACTTCTGTTTAAGTTACTCATCACCCAGTCTAAGTCAGGCATCGGAATTCATTCGGGAAGTAGGGAGATAACGAATGCGACTTGGGAATAAAAAGTGGCTTCGTCGAACCGCACCAGAAATAACACTATACCTGATAAATATAGTCAAAACATGCGCCAAAGGGACGCTTGACAAAAATTCATTGCTGTCTAATCGTGCACTCTGTAGTGAAACGAAAACGAAATAATTTCTAACTTAGTACGAGTAAGAAAACGCTAGTCATATGGGAGGGAGCATCTCGGTTATTGATCAGACATAAACAGCACCCCATTTTTCAAAAGCGGAGATGCCGTCGAGTGACAACTCCTAAAGGACAAACCCCTTAAATATCAGCTTCTTAAGGCTGCCGCACTCTA